GTGGGTCTCTGTGGGTCTCTAGGAGTCTCTGTGGGTCTCTGTGGGTCTCTGTGGGTCTCTGTGTGTCTCTGTGGGTCTCTGTGTGTCTCTGTGGGTCTCTAGGAGTATGGGTCTCTGTGGGTCTCTGTGAGTCTCTGTGGGTCTCTGTGAGTCTCTGTGGGTCTCTGTGGGTCTCTGTGGGTCTCTAGGAGTATGGGTCTCTATGGGTCTCTATGGGTCTCTGTGGGTCTCTAGGAGTATGGGTCTCTGTGGGTCTCTGTGGGTCTCTATGGGTCTCTATGGGTCTCTGTGGGTCTCTGTGGGTCTCTAGGAGTATGGGTCTCTATGGGTCTCTGTGGGTCTCTGTGGGTCTCTAGGAGTATGGGCCTCTGTGGGTCTCTGTGGGTCTCTGTGGGTCTCTGTGGGTCTCTAGGGGTCTCTGTGGGTCTCTGTGGGTCTCTAGGAGTATGGGTCTCTGTGGGTCTCTGTGGGTCTCTATAGGTCTCTGTGGGTCTCTAGGAGTATGGGTCTCTGTGGGTCTCTATGGGTCTCTGTGGGTCTCTGTGGTTCTCTGTGGGTCTCTGTGGGTCTCTGTGGGTCTCTAGGAGTATGGGTCTCTGTGGGTCTCTGTGGGTCTCTATGGGTCTCTGTGGGTCTCTGTGGGTCTCTGTGGGTCTCTGTGGGTATCTGTGGGTCTCTGTGGGTCTCTGTGTGTCTCTGTGGGTCTCTAGGAGTATGGGTCTCTGAAGGTCTCTGTGGGTCTCTGTGGGTCTCTGTGGGTCTCTATGGGTCACTATGGGTCTCTGTGGGTCTCTGTGGGTCTCTAGGAGTATGGGTCTCTGTGGGTCTCTGTGGGTCTCTAGGAGTATGGGTCTCTATGGGTCTCTGTGGGTCTCTGTGGGTCTCTAGGAGTATGGGCCTCTGTGGGTCTCTGTGGGTCTCTGTGGGTCTCTAGGAGTATGGGTCTCTGTGGGTCACTATGGGTCTCTATGTGTCTCTGTGGGTCTCTGTGGGTCTCTAGGAGTATGGGTCTCTGTGGTTCTCTGTGGGTCTCTGTGGGTCTCTAGGAGTATGGATCTCTATGAGTATGGGTCTCTATGGGTCTCTAGGAATATGGGTCTCTATGTGTCTCTGTGGGTCTCTGTGGGTCTCTAGGAGTATGGGTCTCTGTTGGTCTCTGTGGGTCTCTAGGAGTATGGGTCTCTGTGGGTCTCTGTGGGTCTCTGTGGGTCTCTGTCAGTCTCTAGGAGTATGGGTCTCTATGGGTCTCTAGGAGTATGGGTCTCTGTTGGTCTCTGTGGGTCTCTAGGAGTATGGGTCTCTATGGGTCTCTGTGGGTCTCTAGGAGTATGGGTCTCTATGGGTCTCTGTGGGTCTCTAGGAGTATGGGTCTCTGTGGGTCTCCAGCAGTATGGGTCTCTATGGGTCTCTGTGGGTCTCTAGGAGTATGGGTCTCTGTGGGTCTCCAGCAGTATGGGTCTCTATGGGTCTCTGTGGGTCTCTGTGGGTCTCTAGGATTATGGGTCACTATGGGTCTCTGTGGGTCTCTATGGGTCTCTGTGGGTCTCTGTGGGTCTCTATGGGTCTCTATGGGTCTCTGTGGGTCTCTAGGAGTATGGGTCTCTGTGGGTCTCTATGAGTATGGGTCTCTATGGGTCTCTAGGAGTATGGGTCTCTATGGGTCTCTAGGAGTATGGGTCTCTATGGGTTTCCGTGGGTCTCTCTGAGTGTGGGTCTCTGCGGGTCTCTATGGGTCTCTGTGGGTGTCTGTGGGTCTCTGTGGGTCTCTGTGGGTCTCTGTGGGTCTCTGTGGGTCTCTATGGGTCTCTATGGGTCTCTATGAGTGTCTGTGGGTTTCCGCGGGTCTCTATGAGTGTGGGTCTCTGTGAGTCTCTATGAGTGTCTGTGGGTGTCTGTGGGTCTCTGTGGGTGTCTGTGGGTCTCTGTGGGTCTCTGTGGGTGTCTGTGGGTCTCTGTGGGTCTCTGTGGGTCTCTATGGGTGTCTGTGGGTGTCTGTGGGTCTCTATGGGTGTCTATGGGTGTCTGTGGGTCTCTGTGGGTCTCTGTGGGTGTCTGTGGGTCTCTTTGGGTGTCTATGGGTCTCTGTGGGTCTCTATGGGTGTCTGTGGGTCTCTGTGGGTATCTATGGGTGTCTGTGGATCTCTGTGGGTGTCTGTCTGTGGGTCTCTGTGGGTCTCTGTGGGTGTCTATGGGTCTCTGTGGGTGTCTATGGGTCTCTGTGGGTCTCTATGGGTGTCTGTGGGTCTCTGTGGGTATCTATGGGTGTCTGTGGATCTCTGTGGGTGTCTATGGGTCTCTGTGGGTCTCTGTGAAGGGTGTCTATGGGTGTCTATGAGTGTGGGTCTCTATGGGTGTCTGTGGGTGTCTGTGGGTCTCTATGGGTGTCTGTGGGTGTCTGTGGGTCTCTGTGGGTCTCTGTGGGTGTCTGTGGGTCTCTGTGGTTATCTATGGGTGTCTGTGGGTGTCTGTGGGTCTCTGTGGGTCTCTATGGGTGTCTGTGGGTCTCTGTGGGTCTCTGTGGGTGTCTGTGGGTCTCTGTGGTTATCTATGGGTGTCTGTGGATCTCTGTGGGTGTCTATGGATCTCTGTGGGTCTCTGTGAAGGGTGTCTATGGGTGTCTATGAGTGTGGGTCTCTGTGGGTCTCTGTGGGTGTCTGTGGGTCTCTGTGGTTATCTATGGGTGTCTGTGGGTGTCTGTGGGTCTCTGTGGGTCTCTATGGGTGTCTGTGGGTGTCTGTGGGTCTCTGTGGGTCTCTGTGGGTGTCTGTGGGTCTCTGTGGTTATCTATGGGTGTCTGTGGATCTCTGTGGGTGTCTATGGATCTCTGTGGGTCTCTGTGAAGGGTGTCTATGGGTGTCTATGAGTGTGGGTCTCTATGGGTGTCTGTGGGTCTCTGTGGGTCTCTGTGGGTGTCTATGGGTCTCTGTGGGTGTCTATGGGTATCTGTGGGTCTCTATGGGCGTCTGTGGGTGTCTATGGGTATCTATGGGTGTCTGTGGGTGTCTATGGGTCTCTGTGGGTGTCTATGGTTGTCCGTGGATCTCTGTGGGTGTCTATGGGTCTCTGTGAAGGGTGTCTATGGGTGTCTATGAGTGTGGGTCTCTATGGGTGTCTGTGGGTCTCTGTGGGTGTCTGTGGGTGTCTATGGGTCTCTGTGGGTCTCTGTGAAGGGTGTCTATGGGGGTCTATGAGTGTGGGTCTCTGTGGGTGTCTATGGGTGTCTGTGGATCTCTGTGGGTGTCTATGGGTCTCTGTGGGTCTCTGTGAAGGGTGTCTATGGGTGTGGGTCTCTATGGGTGTCTGTGGGTGTCTGTGAAGGGTGTCTATGAGTGTGGGTCTCTATGGGTGTCTGTGGGTCTCTATGGGTGTCTGTGGGTGTCTGTGGGTGTCTGTGAAGGGTGTCTATGAGTGTGGGTCTCTATGGGTCTCTATGGGTGTCTATGGGTCTCTGTGGGTGTCTGTGAAGGGTGTCTGTGAAGGGTGTCTATGAGTGTGGGTCTCTATGGGTGTCTGTGGGTCTCTGTGGGTGTCTATGGGTCTCTGTGGGTGTCTATGGGTCTCTGTGGGTCTCTGTGGGTGTCTATGGGTCTCTGTGGGTCTCTGTGAAGGGTGTCTATGAGTGTGGGTCTCTGTGGGCCTTTGTGAAGGGTGTCTATGGGTGTCTATGAGTGTGGGTCTCTATGGGTGTCTGTGGGTCTCTGTGAAGGGTGTCTATGAGTGTGGGTCTCTATGGGTGTCTGTGGGTCTCTATGGGTCTCTGTGGGTCTCTGTGAAGGGTGTCTATGGGTGTCTATGAGTGTGGGTCTCTATGGGTGTCTGTGGGTCTCTATGGGTGTCTATGGGTGTCTATGAGTGTGGGTCTCTATGGGTGTCTATGGGTCTCTATGGGTGTCTGTGGGTGTCTGTGGGTCTCTATGCAGGACACCAGCTAACAAGAGCTTCGTAGATTACAGGGTTTGTCACATCTTGACTGGTTTCACGAGTGAGCACCTACCCACCCCCCTCCATCCATCCTCCTCAGGGCATACTCCCGGCCACACGAACGTGGAATTTCCAATCCTCGCCGCCCAGATTGTACCTGAACCAGGCGCGAACGGCGCCGCGAAGAAGCGAAGCCATCGGCGGGGAAACACCGCGGCTGCTGTTGCCTCGTTCTTCGGCACACACGCACACACACACCCGCCACCACCCTCGGTTAAGAGCGCTAGGCCAGCAGGGGGGGTAGGTGGGGCGGCCCGAGCGAGCCTAGGCCTCAGCTGGAATATTTGTTTTAAAACAAAAAAAAGACGCAAAAGCAAATTACATATAACAATCAACATTGGGTAACGGACGAACATATCTGTCGTTATTCCTGCAAGAAGTAGTTTATTTTATTTTTAAATAAAAAAATAAATTTTAAAAAACCCGACATCGCGATGTTCAACAAAGGTTACCCAAATGTCAGGTCGCCACGCTGCTGGATGACGTCACCGTTCGCACTGTCTGACGTCACGGATCGCAGGTTTCGTTATATTTAGCACGGTTTGACGTCACGAAAGTACGTTCTGACGTCACGGATAGGTCGCACTTTCCGTTGTCATGGTTTGCACGTTTTTGACGTCACGGAACGAGTGTTCAGACGTCGTGGGGTTGCACAATCCCTTGTCAAGGTTTGCAAGTTTTGACGTCACGGATCACGCGATCAGTTGTCATGGATCGCACGTTCTGACGTCACGGATCGCACGTTTTTGATGCCGTGATGTGCACGTTGCGTGAACATGGCGTCACGTAACGTCGAGAGCAACAGCGAGCAACGTGCAGCGTCATCAACCTCCACCCCTCCCCCACACACAAACGTTTCAGGATCGCGCTGCGCGACGTCGTACGTAATGACGTCTCAAAAGATCCAAACGAATGTGTGACGTCACCTCGCTCCCCCCCACCCCACTGCCGAAAGAGCGAGTGCATGCGCGGTGACGTCAGGCGCGCGGTGACACGTCACCGCGCAAACCCACGCGCTGACGTCACCGGCCCACCTCACGTTCTTCGCTCTCTCGCCCGTTGCTTCCCCTTCCCGCCATTTTCCTCACCCACCCCCCTGCCAATCTCTCAGTCGCCTTTCTCCTCAGAACCACAGCGCTCTTCACTTCTCAAGTCGCTCGTCGGTTACGGGTTTGTCGCCCACCCTCACCTCGTTATCGATCCGCGCTCGGTGCAGCTTTCTCGATGTTACGCGGACGAACGCAAAAAGAGAAGCGAATATTAAAATGGTTTTAAGGTTTTTTTATTTTTTTTCCGCCTGCGGCCTAGCGCGCGTGCGCGCGGTCCGCGTGCGTAGGCCCGGAGCCTCGCGTTGCCTTGCGAGGCCGCCGCGCATAGCGAGGGGGAAGGCGGCCGCTTTCGGCTCGTCCAGCCCGGGGGGGTGGGTGGGTCGGGCTCGGAGGTCTTTTTTATATTTTCGTATTTAATTCGACGAACGTTCATTCGATGCCCTTGTTCGCTTTGCGTCTTTTGGTTGCGTTTTTTTTTCTTTTAAAACGTTCGTGAATTAAAAGGTGTCGTCGGATCGTGAGTGATGGCGAATCGCGAGCATTGGTCTCGGTGATTAGCATTTAACCCTATGGGAGTCGCAGTGATTAACATTTAACCCTATGAGAGTCTCAGTGATTAACATTTAACCCTATGGGAGTCTCAGTGATTAACATTTAACCCTATGGGAGTCTCAGTGATTAACACTGAACCCAATGGGAGTCTCGGTGATTAACACTGAACCCTATGGGGGTCTAGGTGATTAACACTGAACCCTATGGGAGTCTCGGTGATTAACACTGAACCCTATGGGAGTCTCAGTGATTAACATTGAACCCTATGGGAGTCTCAGTGATTAACACTGAACCCTATAGGAGTCTCAGTGATTAACACTGAACCCTATGTGAGTCTCGGTGATTAACACTGAACCCTATGGGAGTCTCAGTGATTAACATTTAACCCTATGGGAGTCTCAGTGATTAACATTGAACCCTATGGGAGTGAGTCTCAGTGATTAACACTGGACCCTATGGGAGTCTCAGTGATTAACATTTAACCCTATGAGAGTCTCAGTGATTAACACTGAACCCTATGGGAGTCTCAGTGATTAACATTTAACCCTATGGGAGTCTCAGTGATTAACATTTAACCCTATGGGAGTCTCAGTGATTAACACTGAACCCTATGGGAGTCTCAGTGATTAACATTGAACCCTATGGGAGTCTCAGTGATTAACACCGAACCCTATGGGAGTCTCAGTGATTAACACTGCACCCTATGGGGGTCTCTGTGAACATTTAACCCTATGGGAGTCTCAGTGATTATCACCGAACCCTGTGGGAGTCTCAGTGATTAACACTGAACCCTATGGGAGTCTCAGTGATTAACATTGAACCCTATGGGAGTTTCAGTGATTAACACCGAACCCTATGGGAGTCTCAGTGATTAACACTGAACCCTGTGGGAGTCTCAGTGATTAACACTGAACCCTATGTGAGTCTCAGTGATTAACATTGAACCCTATGGGAGTCTCAGTGATTAACATTTAACCCTATGGGAGTCTCAGTGATTAACACTGAACCCTATGGGAGTCTCAGTGATTAACACTGAACCCTATGTGAGTCTCAGTGATTAACACTGAACCCTATGGGAGTCTCAGTGATTAACATTTAACCCTATGGGAGTCTCAGTGATTAACATTGAACCCTATGGGAGTGAGTCTCAGTGATTAACACTGGACCCTATGGGAGTCTCAGTGATTAACATTTAACCCTATGAGAGTCTCAGTGATTAACACTGAACCCTATGGGAGTCTCAGTGATTAACATTTAACCCTATGGGAGTCTCAGTGATTAACATTTAACCCTATGGGAGTCTCAGTGATTAACACTGAACCCTATGGGAGTCTCAGTGATTAACATTGAACCCTATGGGAGTCTCAGTGATTAACACCGAACCCTATGGGAGTCTCAGTGATTAACACTGCACCCTATGGGGGTCTCTGTGATTAACACTGAACCCCATGGGAGTCTCAGTGATTAACACTGAACCCTATGGGAGTCTCAGTGATTAACACTGAACCCTATGGGAGTCTCAGTGATTAACACTGAACCCTATGGGGGTCTCAGTGATTAACACTGAACCCTATGGGGGTCTCAGTGATTAACACTGAACCCTATGGGAGTCTCAGTGAATAACACTGAACCCTATGGGAGTCTCAGTGATTAACACTGAACCCTATGGGGGTCTCTGTGATGAACATTTAACCCTATGGGAGTCTCAGTGATTAACACTGAACCCTATGGGAGTCTCAGTGATTAACATTGAACCCTATGGGGGTCTCTGTGATTAACATTTAACCCTATGGGAGTCTCAGTGAATAACACTGAACCCTATGGGAGTCTCAGTGATTAACACTGAACCCTATGGGAGTCTCAGTGATTAACACTGAACCCTATGGGAGTCTCAGTGATTAACACTGAACCCTATGGGAGTCTCTGTGATTAACACTGAACCCTATGGGAGTCTCAGTGATTAACACTGAACCCTATGGGGGTCTCAGTGATTAACACTGAACCCTATGGGTGTCTCAGTAACTAACACTGAACCCTATGGGGGTCTCAGTGATTAACACTGAACCCTATGGGTGTCTCAGTAACTAACACTGAACCCTATGGGAGTCTCAGTGATTAACACTGAACCCTATGGGAGTCTCAGTGATTAACACTGAACCCTATGGGGGTCTCAGTGATTAACACTGAACCCTATGGGAGTCTGAGTGATTAACACTGCACCCTATGGGAGTCTCAGTGATTAACACTGAACCCTATGGGAGTCTCAGTGATTAACACTGAACCCTATGGGGGTCTCAGTGATTAACACTGAACCCTATGGGAGTCTCAGTGATTAACACTGAACCCTATGGGAGTCTCGGTGATTAACACTGAACCCTATGGGGGCCTCAGTGATTAACACTGAACCCTATGGGAGTCTCAGTGATTAACACTGAACCCTATGGGAGTCTCAGTGATTAACATTGAACCCTATGGGAGTCTCAGTGATTAACACTGAACCCTATGGGAGTCTCAGTGATTAACACTGAACCCTATGGGAGTCTCAGTGATTAACACTGAACCCTATGGGAGTCTCAGTGATTAACATTGAACCCTATGGGAGTCTCAGTGATTAACATTGAACCCTATGGGAGTCTCAGTGATTAACACTGAACCCTATGGGAGTCTCGGTGATTAACACTGAACCCTATGGGAGTCTCGGTGATTAACACTGAACCCTATGGGAGTCTCGGTGATTAACATTTAACCCTATGGGAGTCTCAGTGATTAACATTGAACCCTATGGGAGTCTCAGTGATTAACACTGAACCCTATGGGAGTCTCAGTGATTAACACTGAATCCTACGGGGGTCTCAGTGATTAACATTGAACCCTATGGGAGTCTCAGTGATTAACATTGAACCCTATGGGAGTCTCAGTGATTAACACTGAACCCTATGGGAGTGTCAGTGATTAACACTGCACCATGTGGGAGTCTCGGTGATTAACATTTAACCCTATGGGAGTCTCAGTGATTAACATTGAACCCTATGTGAGTCTCAGTGATTAACACTGAACCCTATGGGAGTCTCAGTGATTAACATTTAACCCTATTAGAGTCTCAGTGATTAACACTGAACCCTATGGGAGTCTCAGTGATTAACATTTAACCCTATGGGAGTCTCAGTGATTAACATTTAACCCTATGGGAGTCTCAGTGATTAACACTGAACCGTATGGGAGTCTCAGTGATTAACATTGAACCCTATGGGAGTCTCAGTGATTAACACTGAACCCTATGGGAGTCTCAGTGATTAACATTTTACCCTATGGGAGTCTCAGTGATTAACATTTAACCCTATGGGAGTCTCAGTGATTAACATTTAACCCTATGGGAGTCTCAGTGATTAACACTGAACCCTATGGGAGTCTCAGTGATTAACACTGCACCCTATGGGGGTCTCTGTGAACATTTAACCCTATGGGAGTCTCAATGATTATCACTGAACCCTGTGGGAGTCTCAGTGATTAACACAGAACCCTATGGGAGTCTCAGTGATTAACACTGAACCCTATGGGAGTCTCAGTGATTAACACTGAACCCTATGGGAGTCTCAGTGATTAACACTGAACCCTATGGGAGTCTCAGTGATTAACACTGAACCCTATGGGGGTCTCAGTGATTAACACTGAACCCTATGGGGGTCTCAGTGATTAACACTGAACCCTATGGGAGTCTCAGTGAATAACACTGAACCCTATGGGAGTCTCAGTGATTAACACTGAACCCTATGGGGGTCTCTGTGATGAACATTTAACCCTATGGGAGTCTCAGTGATTAACACTGAACCCTATGGGAGTCTCAGTGATTAACATTGAACCCTATGGGGGTCTCTATGATTAACATTTAACCCTATGGGAGTCTCAGTGAATAACACTGAACCCTATGGGAGTCTCAGTGATTAACACTGAACCCTATGGGAGTCTCAGTGATTAACACTGAACCCTATGGGAGTCTCAGTGATTAACACTGAACCCTATGGGAGTCTCTGTGATTAACACTGAACCCTATGGGAGTCTCAGTGATTAACACTGAACCCTATGGGGGTCTCAGTGATTAACACTGAACCCTATGGGTGTCTCAGTAACTAACACTGAACCCTATGGGAGTCTCAGTGATTAACACTGAACCCTATGGGAGTCTCAGTGATTAACACTGAACCCTATGGGGGTCTCAGTGATTAACACTGAACCCTATGGGAGTCTGAGTGATTAACACTGCACCCTATGGGAGTCTCAGTGATTAACACTGAACCCTATGGGAGTCTCAGTGATTAACACTGAACCCTATGGGGGTCTCAGTGATTAACACTGAACCCTATGGGGGTCTCAGTGATTAACACTGAACCCTATGGGAGTCTCAGTGATTAACACTGAACCCTATGGGAGTCTCGGTGATTAACACTGAACCCTATGGGGGCCTCAGTGATTAACACTGAACCCTATGGGAGTCTCAGTGATTAACACTGAACCCTATGGGAGTCTCAGTGATTAACACTGACCACTATTGGAGTCTCAGTGATTAACACTGAACCCTATGGGAATCTCAGTGATTAACATTGAACCCTATGGGAGTCTCAATGATTAACACTGAACCTTATGTGAGTCTCAGTGATTAACACTGAACCCTATGGGAGTCTCAATGATTAACACTGAACCCTATGGGGGTCTCAGTGATTAACACTGAACCCTATGGGAGTCTCAGTGATTAACAGTGAACCCTATGGGAGTCTCAGTGATTAACACTGACCACTATGGGAGTCTCAGTGATTAACACCGAACCCTATGGGGGTCTCAGTGATTAACACTGAACCCTATCGGGGTCTCAGTGATTTACACTGAACCCTGTGGGAGTCTCGGTGGTTAACACTGAACCCTATGTGGGTCTCAGTGATTAACACTGAACCCTATGGGAGTCTCAGTGATTAACACTGAACCCTGTGGGAGTCTCAGTGATTAACACTGAACCCTATGGGAGTGAGTCTCAGTGATTAACACCGAACCCTATAGGAGGAGCCTCTGTGATTAACGGAATCTGTATTCGGCACGGAGTTGCGTGTGAATCTCTCTCTCTCTGTCGCAGATGGAATTCCTGTCGCCATCGTACCGACCGTGACCTCTGCGCTGTGCCCCCGTGTCCCACCCCCATGCAGGTCTGTCGCGCTCACCCCGCCCCGGTCTCACCGAGGATTCCGTTGAGCCATGGAGATGGAGGAAGACAGCCATCTTGACAGCGGAGACTCCAACGGTGTGACGCCCGTTGCAGTTAGCGACACCCCGCGCAGCGCAACCCGCACGCAACCCGCACGCAACCCGCACGCAACCCGCACGCAACCCGCACGCAACTCCACTCAACTCCACGCAACCCGCACGCAACTCCATGCAACTCCACGCAACTCCACTCAACTCCACCCAACTCCACCCAACTCCACTCAACTCCACTCAACTCCACTCAACTCCACTCAACTCCACCCAACTCCACCCAACTCCACTCAACTCCACCCAACTCCACTCAACTCCACGCAACTCCACTCAACTCCACCCAACTCCACGCAACTCCACGCAACTCCACTCAACTCCACTCATCTCCACAACTCCACTCAACTCCATTCCACGCAACTCCACGCAACTCCACTCAACTCCACGCAACTCCACTCAACTCCACTCAACTCCACGCAACTCCACTCAACTCCACGCAACTCCACGCAACTCCACACAACTCCACTCAACTCCACACAACTCCACACAACTCCACACAACTCAACTCCACTCAACTCCACTCAACTCCACTCAACTCCACTCAACTCAACTCAACTCCACTCAACTCCACTCAACTCCACTCAACTCCACTCAACTCCACTCCACTCAACTCCACTCAACTCCACTCAACTCCACTCAACTCCACGCTACTCAACTCCACTCCACTCCACTCAACTCCACTCAACTCCACTCAACTCCACTCAACTCAACTCCACTCCACTCCACTCAACTCCACTCAACTCAACTCCACTCAACTCCACTCAACTCCACTCAACTCCACTCAACTCCACTCAACTCCACTCAACTCCACTCAACTCCACTCAACTCCACTCAACTCCACGCAACTCCACTCCACTCAACTCAACTCCACTCAACTCCACTCAACTCAACTCCACGCAACTCCACTCAACTCCACGCAACTCCACGCAACTCCACTCAACTCCACTCAACTCCACGCAACTCCACTCAACTCCACTCAACTCCACTCAACTCCACTCAACTCAACTCCACCCAACTCCACCCAACTCCACTCAATGCCACTCAACTCCACCCGACTCCACCCGACTCCACCCGACTCCACTCGACTCCACTCAACTCCACTCGACTCCACTCAACTCCACTCAACTCCACTCCACTCAACTCCACTCAACTCCACTCAACTCCACTCAACTCCACCCAACTCCACCCAACTCCACCCAACTCCACCCAACTCCACCCAACTCCACTCCACTCAACTCCACTCAACTCCACTCAACTCCACTCAACTCCACACAACTCCACACAACTCCACACAACTCCACACAACTCCACTCCACTCAACTCCACTCAACTCCACTCAACTCCACGCAACTCCACCCAACTCCACTCAACTCCACTCAACTCCACCCAACTCCACTCAACTCCACTCAACTCCACTCAACTCCACTCCACTCAACTCCACTCAACTCCACTCAACTCCACTCAACTCCACTCAACTCCACTCAACTCCACTCAACTCCACTCCACTCAACTCCACCCAACTCCACTCAACTCCACTCAACTCCACTCAACTCCACTCAACTCCACCCAACTCCACTCCACTCAACTCCACTCCACTCCACTCAACTCCACCCAACTCCA